ATAAATCTACAGAGGCAGAAAGTAGATGGCTGCCTAGGGCTAGGGGTGTGGTGGAATGAAAGTTTTGGGGTGATGGCTAACAAGAATGGGGTTTTTTTGAGGTAAAAAAAATAACAAAATTGTGATGAATCTACAAACCTGTGAACATACCAAAACCCAGTGAATTATACATTTCTCCAGTTTTATTGACAAATAACTATTTGTTATTTGTACAAGTTTAAGGCATATAGCCTTGGAGATGCATGGGACTCTACTCAGTTAACAGCCTCCCTGAACGTGGAGAACGCTGAGGCTCCTTGCAGGGGAACTGACTCACTCAAGGCACCCCCAAGCATCCTGGAAAGATGAGGCCCAGTAGATCGGGCCAAAGAAGAACAGAGAAAGATGTCACGATGGACAAAAAGAAATGCATCTCCAGAAAGTAAAAGAGGGCAGAGGATGCACAGGATCTGTGTAAAGAAAAGCGAGACAAATGCTAGTGGAGTGTAGACACACATTCTGTCCTTTCCTTTTCATGAGCATTTCTCACTTTTCCACAAAGTACTTTAAAAGCAGAGGAAAGTGAATTTCAGGAAACTTACTGTAAAACAGAGTGAAGCACCAAGAACATGCAAAATATTGGGTCTCATTATAAAAATTTTATCTATGTGTTTATATCTATGTAGTTTATTAAAATGTAAACATGTTTCAGTTTATTAGCTGAATTATTTTAATATTTTTCCCTAAAATGTTGCATAATATCAATGCTTCTGGAAAATTCACCATGTTTATCTTGTGGTTTTATGTAACTCTGATATTGAATATTTTAGAGGTCCCTGGTGTTCCATTTACCTATTGCTGCCTGCCAACCCCCCGTGAAACTTACTGGCTTAGAATCGCAACTATTTTATTGTTATCTTCCCATTTTGTGGGTTGGGAATTTGGGCAGAGCTCAGCTGGGAGATTCATCTGCTCCACATTGTGTCTACTGAGGTCACTGGATGATGTTCAGCTGGTGGGCAGGTTTAGGGTAGCTCCACCCAGGTGTGGGAGAACTGGATGGAAGCCTGGATTGGGGGAGACTGTGGATAACATTTGCCTGCAGTTTCCCTAGCATGGCGGTCTTAGGGTAGCTGGACTTCTTACCTGGCCCCTCAGGGACCCAGAAAGAGTGTTACTAGCTGGAAGCTGGCTGAATCTTCTTATGACCTTGCCTTGAAAAAGATCTAGACCATTACTTTTACTTTATTCAAATTGTCAAATGTCACTAATGTCAGTCTTTAAGGAGAAGAAAATTCATCTCCATCTCTCACTGCAAGGAGTGGAAAAGACCTTGAGACCATGTTTAATCTAGCATGTCTATTTTGAGACACTCAATACTCTCAAATGCATCCTAGAATTAGG